GGTACAAGTGCTGCATGCATAAAGAATATTACTTAACACAAATTATTAGTATAATATTTCGACCCCACTATTTGAAATTCACAAAATACTTATTTAATTATTTCGACCAAAAATCATTGTTTTTTACGTTCGTAGTAACGTAGTACATTCCATTGTCGGTCACCTGTGTCAATTCACGTGCACACTACAATTGTTGTTGTATTTAAATCTTTCGGCCAATGAAATGTGACGTTACAAGTTGTTTGTTTGTGATACGCCAGAATGTTATCAATGAATTATCAATCGCTAAACTTGACTGTACCTATTCAAAATCGTAAATGCAAATTTCACAAGGCTTAATCCAAATAGCCTTTTTACTGTCTAATAACTTGCAAGTACGAAAAAGACAGGAAAGAAGTATATTTTGTCTATATGTTTTGTGTTTGCACACTTTTTAAAGTTGATCAAGCATTCGTTCTAAAATAAAATTTTGACCAGATAAAAGTTAAAAGATGACATAATTGGACAACCGCAATTGTTAAATCTCATTGACGTCCGAAAAAAAGATAATAATCAACACATCCATTGTAACTTTTAAAGCCAGTTAAATCCTTTTTTGCTGAAAGAACGTCCGATATCATAAAAATTCATTATCAAAACATAACAAAAACACAAGTAAAGAACGTTTAAGTATTCAATATAAATCAAAACACAAAGTTATTCCTGATTAGTTTTTCGAATTATTTTATTTAGGCGTTGAGACCCTTTGGTGACCCCACAGTTTAAATGTCTATAATAAATACGTCGTGAGTTGTGGGCGTTACAGACGAACGTTCACCTAATCTGACCCAGTCAATGGGATATTTTAGCGCGCCAATCAATGGTCTCGGCTACACTGTTTTGCACATGATTCTATATGTTTTGGAGTTTAGTGTGACGTCCATTTTCACTGCACTAGTACACAATTTTATTAAGGGGCCAGCTGAGGACCACCTCCGGGCGCGGGATTTTCTCGCTGCGTTGAAGATCCATTGGTGGCCTTCGGCTGTTGTCTGCTCTTTGGTCGGGTTGTTGTCTCTTTGACATATTCCCCATTTCCATTCTCAATTTTATATATATATATGCAGGGGCATAGGAGTCGAAAAAAGGGGTCAATACCCGCTCCACACACACTTTCAAGAGTGAGGGGCAAAACTATGTCCCCTCCCACAATTTTTGGCTTTTTATTTTGTTTTTGAAATATAAAATGGCTACCAAAGAGGACATAAACTTACTTCAAAACTATTAGATTAATCTTTTTTTTTTGCTTGCCACATTAAGTCTCCTCCCTTTTCAATCTACTCCTACGTCACTGATATGTATCAAAGTAATCAACGATAATTTAATCTGACACTGCTTTAAGAATTGAAAAACTCTAGTGTTAACGCAAAATCCCTAATTTATTAAGGACTTAATATATCCAAACATCGTAGTACATAAACCAGAATGAACATTTTTTTTGTGTTTAATATTTTAAATTATGCAATCATCTTACAAATGCCAAATTTATTACTTTCTAATTCAAAACGTCGTACAAGTCAAGATACAAAACAAAGTAGCAAGGGACCTGACTACTCGTGCAGAAAAAACTATACGGCAACGGTTGTTACCATCCTGTTTTTTTTTTGTTACCTTTGTTCTGTATCTAATACTTATTTTGATATTTTGGCGTTTCTGTAGGAACGAAATAAAAAGTGCACTGAAAAATCCAGGTAAGTTTTTAATTTTCTAAAACATAATATGCATTAAAAAATTTCCTGATTCACAGGTTTGTCTGTACTCGGAGTAAATTTTGAGGTGAAAACATAGCCATTTTAGCCAAAGGGTCCACATGAACTTTAACATAGCTTTAGCTTTACTATGAAATTGAAAAATGTTTTCAAAACATGTAGAACGCCCACCTGCCACTGAAGATCATTAAACTATTATATACTTTAAAATTCAGCATTATTGCGTGCATTTATATTGCGATTTTTGAAGATCGGACAAAAGTGCGAGATTAATAATTGCGATTTCAGGAAAATCTGCATACAGATAAATGTATCAGATATCAGCTGTTGAATGCGAGTTCTTAATATTGCGATACGCACCCGGTCGCATTATTCGCATTAATAAAAACATCGCAATTATTTCTAAATTCACAGTGTGCTTATATTTTGGTGAATTTAAATTGCCATCTTACCTCAATATACATACTTACACCAGCATCTGCTATCATTTCATTCTGGAGTCTAGGGCCTTTAAAAATCTCTATGTTTTTATATTTGATTACATTTAAACCGCAAAGTTCCCAATTTTTTTTCTTCTGCATTCATAAGCTTAATATGTGGGAAATCGATGTAACACATTGTACAGATATGACAGCTGTGATACTAGTAAGTAAATTCACATTCATATTAATGGACTCACTTTTACAAACACCTGTGAAACAAGTAGTCGGTGAAAACAAACTATAAAACTTTAAAACTTTTACTAAATTCTTTCATAGATACAAAGATTTGATTAGTAAATTTGGCTGAAATCACTATGCGATCCGTGTAAACTCATCGAACCTTTAAACAAACTTATTAGTAAAGGATATCTTACCAATGTTGTAATTAGATCTTTGAATATAGTTTACATTGGCACTAATATCGATTTTGTCATCAGCAAATTAAAACATAACTAAATTTGTATTCTTTTCAAACGGGATGTATAAAGACACACCCACGTTCATTATGATCTTTATAGAGGTTAACTCCTAACGATCCTACTGCCTGTCGATACATTTATTTTTGGCATTGCACAAGTCATGTCTTCTTTGAATGTCCATGACGTTAAAATACTAAATCCCTGGGATGTGTTTTAGTTGATTTTAGTCTCTGATGCATGATTTTTTATTATTAATTGTTTTTGGCTTTTAACTAGCTGTCAGTAACTGCGAGTACTCTCAAATTGTACTTTCTTGTTTATTTGACCTTTTGTTAATAATTGTAAGGCTTTTTTGTTATTTAATGTTATTCAGGGTTATATCTGGTCTATATACCAGCTTTGATAAGTGTTTGGTATTACTATAAATTTTCACCTCTTCTTACTATTAACATCTAAATTTTATATTTTGTATAAATATTTCCTTTCTCCATTTGCACTGTACACGTATACCTAACAACAAAATTATTTTCATTTACCTGTGTTTAAAGTAATTGCAAATGGCTGATATTTTTGTTCAAGCATATTGTTTTTCTTAAATTGTTTAACATTTCACAGCGGTATAACATGTTACTTTAATTATTCTTCCCTTAGTTTATTTATTTTGTATTTACATTGTATCATAGATCAAATTTATTTGTTCAGTGTATGTTCACTGGTGTTAATATGTCTTTTGATTGAGTTAAGCCATTTCAATTGATATTTTATAGTTTGTCTTTCTATGTTGTGATGTTACACTATTGTTTCAGATAAGGGTGAAGGTTTGGTACCATTTAAACGTTTAAACCCGCTGCAATTGTTTGCACCTGTCCTAAGTCAGGAATCTGATGTTCAGTAGTTGTCGTTTGTTGATGTGGTTCATAAGTGTTTCTCGGTTTCTCGTTTTTTATATAGATTAGACCGTTGGTTTTGCCGTTTGAATGGTTTTACACTAGTAACTTTTGGGGCCCTTTATAGCTTGCTGTTCGGTGTGAGCCAAGGCTCCGTGTTGAAGACAACACTTTGACCTATATTGGTTTACTTTTATAAATTTTGACTTGGATGGAGAGTTGTCTCATTGGCACTCATACCACATCTTCTTATATCTATCAATAGACCAATTATAAGATTACTCGAGTTGTAAATACATTGTATGTGCTAAATTGGATAGTCAATGAAAATGTATATACTAGGAAATTAAGTGCTAGGGTCAACACCCCTCGCTCTAAATTTAATAGTATATACCTTATCATAAACTAACCGTTGCTACAAGAGTCAAAAACATAATCATGGGTAAAAATAGTACAGCAAGATCTTCTCCAAAATATAAAATATATATCAAATACAATACGAGTATGTTGTAACCGTATCCCTGTTTGCACGAAGTCCAAATATAAAAAGGATAGATGACGGTTAAGCGAAACGGAAGCTGAAGAGTGTTTTAATGGCATATTTTACATTTTGCTTAATATACTTGACATAAGTGAAAAAAAAAACCTGTGCATCTTAAAAAACTGTCTTAATTATACAGACATAAAGTTTTCACTTGTAATTGTCACAATCTTGATGGAATATTGCTTTTCGAGATATCCGGTGATACTCAACTCCTCACGACGGATTTTTCATGATTTTTAGCACAAGCTCATTTTCGAACTTTTGTGCGCACAAAATTGTATGGTATCGTTTTGGCACTAATTAATGAGGAAAACATTTTTGTTTTACTGAGAGATACCTTATTCCGCAACCACAAATAAATGAAAATAAGCATCATTATGTTCAATTTGAAAACATCAGCGCTCAGAAATTCGCTAACGGGTATAGCAAACAACCAAACAGTATCTTTGAGGTGAGGTGTAACAGTTCCTTAAATTACATAGAATATCGATTTATTTAAATGGTGTACTCTAGTGACATAACTTAATCCAGACTTCAAAATCTCACAGGAAGTAAAAATAAAGCACTTCCGGTGGTAAGACTGAGCGAAATTGATATGGCATGAATTCAATAAATATGTTCCATAGGGCAGAACAAATGTAGAAAAGAACCTAAAATGCACCCACTTTTCAGTGGTGATATGGCGCTATAATGTCAACTTACGGCACGATAGCGTACAAGGAAGCGCACACATTCCAATACTCTGAAAACGTTAACATTCAAAACTGTTCCATTATCTAAATTGTAAAGATATAAATATAATATTTATGCATGTAGTATTTACCATATGATTGAGAATGCACAGTTTTTTTTATCCGCTAGTATAGTATCTTAATTTTATGAGTTATGAAACAAATACCCAAATATTGTATCACACTTACCGTGATGCGCAAGTCGGTCGTCGTTAAGAACCATGATTTCAGCTTTTTCTGAAGATTTTGATTTTTGAAATCGAGATTGCAAGCTCGTCAGTGTTGTTAAATAGGTTACCACAATGCCGACAAACAATCCAAGAAAAAAGTCTCTTTTCTTATAAATACAATTGTACTTTATAATACGCCGATTCATTTTTAGTTTGCAATTGTCAGTTGAATCTCTTGTGGTACTTGGAAAATAGAAATAAATGAAATGAAAAATAAATATTGATTAAATAAGGTCGTTTTAATTAGCCAAGGTGCAACATGTTTGTAGTAACATACTATGTATATATATTATATACATGTATAGTCTAAACATGTGACAACTTTATGACAGACATTATCCATCGGATAACCCGTAGTTATACAGGGCTAACACCATGTATATTATAACTTAAATAAAATTATAATTTGATGTGACGGCATGGTAATTTCATTATCCTCCTTTAAGACGGAAAAAACATAGCTGATCTGAAAGATATACCATCCTACTTGCCATTATACATCACTAGAACACACCCGCGAAATGGCGGGCATTTAGAGCGTGGTTGAAAGTATATAAACTGTTGTAGGATGAATTTTTGTAAAAGATTTTATGACTGGAGAATTTCAGGAAAGGTATTAAAAGTCATAGTTACTTGGGGACACTATGGTATTTATTTTAGCCCTCCCCCTTTTTTTCAAAAGTCCGTTACTTTTTGTTTTCTGTTAATTTCAATTATATTCGCGTTTTTCTGTATACTATGAACATACACATACTATAAATACAGTGTATTTGCTATTTACTATCAATTCCAAGTTTACTATCCACGGCGGTCACTGATATATTACTCTCTATATAATATATCAGTGACCGCCATGGATAGTAAACTTGGAATTGATAGTAAATAGCAAATACACTTTATTTATAGTATATGTATGATCATAGTATACAGAAAAACGCGAAAACTATTTTCCTGTCCCCAAGTACTTATGAAAATTATGTGTAATTTTAAAACAGTCCTAAACGGAAGTCTTATATGACTTAAAAGTCCGTCCGATGACGGAAATAATATCCGGACGCCTTTATTATCGTTTTCCTCCCAAAACAACCCAAACTGAATAATCATAAGCGAGGATGACAAATGCGACTATGCATGGTACCTATAGGACACAGAGGCATGATGATTAATTTATTGTGGAAGGAAGAGAAGCGACATACAAAATGAGGTCTTCTCATTTAATAGTATAGGTGTACTGTGTAACAGCCCTAGATTAAACCGAATTTTTTATATAACCTAGTTGGTCGAGTGGTCTAGGGCGCTGGTCACAGTGCAGGCGGTGTTGGCACGATGTCACAAAAGCATGGGTTCAAATCCCGCCGAGGGAAGAACAAAAATTTGCGAACACAAATTTACAGATCTTACATCGTTAGGCCTAATTTGAGACGAATTAATATATGTATATAATTCATCTGAAATTTAGCCCAGTGATGTGATATGTTATATACATAATGATCAATTTTATAATTTGCTTACTGAATAAAAGTTAGTATTTTTATTCGGAAATGAGTAACTTTGTCAGGAAGTTGCTAAAACCCGTTGTACTGAATATTCTATGTAGAAAAACAAATTTCTTATTTATATATAGCTGATAATGTAATCAAATCTTAAATATCGGGTATATATATATAGTTATCAAGAAAATGATAATGCTATTTGGATACGCATACGATTGAATATAGTATCGCACGGAAGATATATACATTTATCGCTATTTTACGAAATTTTCCTTTGATCTTGCTGACTGATAATTTCCTTTCTCAACGGAGTCGAGTGATATAAAAAATTATCGCTAGAAACTAAGGGGCACGTGGCGTTGTCAATGGAATTGACATGAAATTGACAACGTCGTCATAGGTAAAATAGCGATAAACAAATTATCATTGTTCATCTCAACTCGATTGTACCGGCTCAAGCGAGAAAACCAATCTCGTTGAGATGACCAACGATAATCTATAATTATCCTTCAATTGGCTGTCTTATCATACATTAACAGCCCAACAGATATCGCTAGGCTGTATCTGTATACTATACAGATGTCGCTTTAAAGCTCCGCCTACTGCCGGACTACGTTTTTGTATTGCTGTTGACGAGTGTTGTATGAACCTCCGCGACCTCAGAATGTGTATTGCAGTCGCATTGCTTGACCTTTTGTGAACTATAGATTAATATACGTTCTCTTTGTTTTCAAGCATTTCTTTAGAGCAATATGAAATAAACCCATTTTCTGCTAACAGACAAACATGAACAGCAGGATTAACTCCATTTTCTATGGCGCCAATTTACAAGTTCAAAGCTTGAATGTGTATGTGTAACACACAAAATCAATCATACAACAATGTCAATTTCAGCATGTTCAGTGAATGTCACGTTCAGTTCAAAATTCTGAAGCGTGGGATAAATCATACACTTTTGTTTTAAATCGGACAATGTTTTGTTATTTATTTTTACTGTTGAAATAAGTTGTTATGTTATAAGAAATAATTATTTGCTTTGAGCGATGTATTATTGTTGACCATGCGGGATTTTTTTCGGAGTACCGGTCATCAGCTGTGTGATTTTTTTTTAATATTACTACGCCTAAAAAGTAAAATAAACAGAAAGTACTATATTTTAAATCGAAAATAAATGCAAAAATGTGAGTTTTTCTGTCTTTCAAAACAAAAACAATGTACAAAATCAATTGCAGGATAAAGACAAAATATCAGCTGTATTTGTACTCGGTTCGAAACAGGAGTAATAGCTCGCTGAAGCTCGCATTACACCTGTTTCTTAGCCTCGTACAAATACAGCTGATCTTTAAAGACACTAAACAGTTATTGTCGATGTAGTCCATATCGAGATGTGTGTTTGTCATTATTACGACATTGAATGTCGTTATTACGACGTAGGATGTCGTTATTACGAATACGACAGAAGATGACGTTATTACGACAAAGTTATGTCATTATTACGACAAAGTCGTGTCGTTATTACGAATACGACAGAAGATATCGTTATTACGACAAAGTTATGTCGTTATCACGACATAAAATGTCGTTATTACGACATCCGACATAGGATGTCGTTAATACGAATACGACAAAAAATGTCGTTATTACGACATAGTATAGCGTTATTACGACATTTTTTTTTTCAATGTGGCCATAACCGGCTTCCGTAGAATACATATATAAAACATAGCGTATATTTAAACTAACAGTAAAGTATCATTAAAATTGAGAATGGAAATGGGCAATATGTCAAAGAGACAACAACCCGACCAAAGAGCAGACAACAGCCGAAGGCCACCAATGGGTCTTCAACGCAGCGAGAAAATCCCGCACCCGGAGGATGTCCTCAGCTGGCCCCTAAATAAAATTGTGTACTAGTTAAGTGAAAATGGACGTCACACTTAACTCCAAAACATATAAATGAACTAAAATAAAAAAACAAACAAGACTAACAAAGGCCAGAGGCTCCTGACTTGGGACAGGCGCAAAAATGCGGCGGGGTTAAACATGTTTTGTGAGATATCAACCCTCCCCCTATACCTCTAGCCAATGTAGAATAAAGAAACACATAGCAATACGCACAGTGAAACTCAGTTTAAAAGAAGTCCGATCCGATGTCAGAATATGTAACAAAAGAAACTAAGCAAAATGACAATGATACATAAATGAACAAAGGACTACTAGCCTAAATACTAAAACATTTCTAAGTGTCATTCTATTAAGAATTATGAGAGACAATTAATGAATTATTCTATACAATATTTTACACCATCTTAAAACTTATCACCAATATAAGATAAACAAAAAGGCGAAGATAGCTGAATTTTTGGATAAATATTTGTAGAACTAAATGCTCCTTATTGACAACTGTTGATAAATGTTAGCCTACTTTGCAATTATCTCAATATCTTTATTTTAAAAACAGAAACTGTTAACAGTTAAACAATGATCAGCAAGATATGCATAATTAAAAAAAGGGAGAATAGGAATTGTCCACAATACTAAACTGTATTACACACCACGTCAACCTAAAACACCCGAAACCTTTTAAGAAAACAGACATCAACAATGAATCAAATATCTTCAAGATAGAAAATGCCATGCTCGCAATATCATTTTCCTTGTTCAGTGAACATCTATTTTGGATCAAAACTGTAATTTGGCATATAATTTAAAAAGTTCACATCATAATCTACATATGTACAAAGTTTCAAATTCATGTCTCTTAAACTTTACATAATATACTAACTTGAACAAAAACTTTAACCTTATACGCGACGAACAAACAGAAGAACGGACAAAAAGAAGGACAGACACAAACAAGAAAACATAAAGCCCCTCTCCTATCGTAGGCATGTTTAACCCCGCCACATTCTATATGTGCATATTCCAAGTCGGGAGCCTGTAATTGAATAGTTTTCGTTTGCTGCTGTAAAACATATTTGTTTTTCGTTAATTGTGTAGTATAGTTTGTTCTTGTGTTGTTCTATTGCGCCACCGTCCCCGGTTAAGCGGAGAATTGGGCACCCGCTTACATGTTTAACTCCGCAACATTGCCGCTTACATGTTTAACCCCGCAACATTGTGTATATGCCTGTCCTAAGTAAGGAGCCTGTTATTCATAGGTTGTCATTTATTGCTGTACATCATATTCGTTTTTCGTTTATTGTTCTGTACATAAATCAGGCCGTACGTTTTCTCGTTTGCATTGTTTTACATTTGTCATTTCTCTTGGCCTTTCGTAGATTGCTAGGTTTTGTTCATTGTTGAAGGCATCAATGTCGGCCTATAGTTGCTGATGTCTACGTCACGAATATAGTCTCTAGTGTGGACAGTGTGTCACTTGCCCATTTTTTTTTTATACCTCTTCCAAATGTATTTCCTCATGTTTTATGCCTCAAATAGCAAGTAGGGGGATAAAATTACACTGTAAAAAAATTTGGGTCATGAATTTTAAAGTAAAGTAGTGATTTGGTCCAGCTGAAAAAGGTTAAAAATTAGCACTTCGGAAGCTGTCAAAAGATTTCAAGACCCCCTTAACATAAAATTGTCCATATTTTGAGTTAGAACCGATGAAGTTCTCTATAAATTTGATATAATTTGTCCCAAAAGTAGTACTACACACTGTAAAAATATTATTGAGAAAGTGCAGGTGGGATTTTTTTTATTTTCATTTATTGTCTAAAAGAAATGCACTACGAAATAACTGTGTACTCAGACCTCTTATTTGAAATCATTTCACATTTTCTTGTTTTTATACTAACAAGCCCGTGTGTATAACTATCGGAACTTATTGAATTTGTTAGAAAGTTGGCAAAAGTAGGATTCTGAAATGTCCATATGACCTTTTTGTATCAGAATGATGGTTTCCAGCTTCGAAGCTGAATTATTTAGCTTATGTGACCAAAAGTCATTTTAATCGTTGTCATCGCTTAGCTTGGATGTTTGAAACCGTTTGCTAATATTTCAGGTGTCATTTCTTGAGAACCTCTGCACAGAATGATATAGGATTCATATAAGTAGACGCTCATCGTCAAAAAAAATTAGTACTTTAGTGGTGATTTGTCAACAAACGTCTAATAGGCTCAATAGCATTTTGTCTTTTTTGATATGCTGACCTTGAACATCTTAAGAACGTAACGACTGAACCAATTTAAACTAACTTTCTTCTTGTCATTCTAGAGCTTTTAAATACCAAAGCCGTTATATGATATGTAACTGTTCATATCAATATCCTTTTATCTGTTCCGATAATGATCTTGTCGTCAGATTTAAGAGCAACCTCGGACCATCTTCAATCTCGATGGAAAAAAATCTTATTGGCAATCACACCTCCTTCTCTTTATTTTGACAGTTATATTCCTTTCAAATATGAAACAATTGTTGCCACTTTTGATGCATTTGAATTTCAAAACGGCTTCCAGGTGCGGAAAAAAGTAGTAAAAGTAGATGTTACGTACTATACGTAAATGAAACAGCAATCTAACGACAAAATTAAACGACATCAAGAGGACAAACAGCAGTTTACTACAACTGTCAGCTAAGCTGTGCTAATCCCCCCCCCTCTCCCCCATTACACACACACACACATATATACAAATCACGAGTTCATGATTGAATGGTTTTGAAAAAAAATACAGGGAATCTAAGAAGTTGATTATATCAATTTTAACTTTTTTCTCGCGTTACATTTGATGTTGTCTCTTCTTAACGAACATCCGACATACATTTTATTCTAAGTTTCATATAGATATAATGAACCATCTTTGAGGAGTCGCAATAACATGGTGGGAACTGGACAGTGCCATTTTTTATATGTTTAATTCGGCATTATCCAGGAAAAACTCAATTGACTGTAAAAAGTCATATGCATATACACATACAAATATTTAGCAATGTATTAAGTTTCATGTAAATATGATAAAAGAAGCATACTAAAGAAAACACTCAAAAGACTAGAACACCCTATCCACATACACAACAATTGTTTGGATCTAAGTTAAACAATGTACAAAGTATAAACGATACACCATGTAGGAGAAGCTGCGATGACAAATTCATTTCTGCCCAAATTCCTAAGTTGAAAGGGACTTAACGTAAGAAAAACTCAATGTACCGGAACATTCTACCCTCATGCACATCTACACATAAGATCCTAACGTTGTAACAAGAGTGCACACGCTGAAATGTCACGCCTGCATTACTGATTTCATGTTGAAAGTCTTAAAGATAAAGGCTTAACTACAAGTATCACATAAACTAAACATTTTTAAAGATCCATGAAAATAGATCGAGGTCAGATAAATACTGTCAGACGGACATGTACACCTTACATTTATTCCATACACCAAATAAAGTTTGTTTTGAACATATTCCGAAAAATAAACAGATAGCTATATATTATATATAGATTAATGAGGTATTTATTTAGGGCGTTCCCTGAAGGACAGAGATTAAACGTTACAAATATGTAAAATGCCCGTATTTTTAGGCAATTGATAGGATTAAGAATGTTGATAAGACCCAAAAACGAAAAAAAAAAATGTTTTGAAATTTGGCATCACAGTAGAAAAACCATCTATGGTAAAAAAAGTTGCCATACAAATTCAAACCTTTAAAATTTAGACAAACAAGCAAGGGAATTGAGCTTTTATCGCTGTTCTTCAATAGATGTCAATATCAATTTACTATACTAATATAGAAATAAGAAGATCTGGTATGATTGCCAATGAGACAACTCTTCACAAGAGATCAAATGACACAAAAATGACCAAATATAGGTCACCGTACGGCCTTCAACAATAAGTAAAACCCATACCGCATAGTCAGCTATAAAAGGCCACGAAATTACAAGGTAAAACAATCCAAACGAGAAAACTAACGGCCTGATTTATGTACAAAATAATGAACGAAAAACAAATATGATATACAGCAACAAACGACAACCACTGCATTACAGACTCCTGACTTGGGACAGGCACATACAGAATGTGGCGGGGTTAAACATGTTAGCGGGGCCCAACCCTCCCCTAACCTGGGACAGTGGTGTAACAGTATAACATATGAACAAACTATAAAAATCAGTTGAAAAGGGTTTTACTCATCAGATCTATACAAAGCACAAAAACAAGTAACAAAACACAGAGTGGACGTGGCAGGGTACTTATACATCCCTAATATGTATAGAATAATATTGTTTTGAATATTCTTTTTTTCATCAAGATAAACACTCAACTGCTGCTACAAAATATCAATATGAAAGAAAATAAGTTTTCATATTTGAAGACAAGTCAAGAAAAAAGTGAGCAAAGAATATACAACATGCAAAACATGTCTTCAATTCTACGGAGAACTGTACACTACCAAGAATTTACTCACTCTGTTATTGTACTTTTCTAACCTTGTAAAGCCATGCATACACTTAGTTATGACACCCATAAATAACGTTTAAAACGTGTGAATAAGCGACTATCGAATGTCTGAAACTAAAAGGTTACGCATAAGAACAGAAGTAACTACGATGAATGTGGAAAATTTTAATGTTGAATGTTAAAATCCAATGTTTTTTAAAGAAATTAAAGAAAAAATATTGAATATTGAATGTTGAATGTTGAAAAATGAACCAACTTGACATCTTTTTTTTTTCGAAAACTACTAGACATTTCGAAAGTAAATGACTATGACCAAAAAAGAAAGAGGCATGCATATATCTAATAATAAAAGCATGTTTAAAATAGCTCAATGGCCAACTTGATCTAATGTAAAAATCTCACCTTGGTTAAATTTTGTTGACCATTTTGCATTTAGTTCATTAAATAAAATTTAAGAATAGCCATTGAACTTTTAGTCCTTTTGTAACAAAACAAAAGTGTAAATTTGGCCATCAAAGATTAATATCGTTGTTATTAGGCTATTACAACATTACCCGTATACTGTGTCCCGGAAGGCCTCCATAGGAAGGGTATTCATTCTTTCCACAGCACCTATCGAAGATAGTTACAGTATCAATTTATCGAACTATAAGACAGTCCAAAATAAAAAAGGAAAATCCAGGAATGTCCTCGTTGCAGACTTAAAAATATGCAAAATTCATGAATTGATCACAAAGTGCAAATGTATCAACTGTTTTCTATTTTTTGTAAACGGTTTTTGATAACTTCAATGGTTATAAGAAATTTCTTCTCTGTAAGAAACAACAAAATTAGAAACTTACGTAAAACTATGAGAATATTCCACGTCAGAAATTTCTTCTCTTAGACCTTAAAAGAAGTACATAGAGAAGTCAGTTTAATGGAAGAAATTTCTTTTTATTCGATACAAAATAAAATCATTGGAGCAGTAAATTCATTGGAAGAAATTTCTTCTATCAAACGTAATATAAATAACTTCGAGCTACTCGCTCGTTGGAAGAAATTTCTTCTATCAGATTTAAACCTAAAATGAAATATTTAATCTAAGCCGTTAGTTCGTTGGAAGAAATTTCTCTATCAATCCTACATTTAGATCTAAAATGAAACACACGTAGCTGGAATTTTCTTTATTAAACCTGAACTAAAAGTAATATTTGTGGCAGTAAGTAAGTTGGTAGAAATTTCTTCTATCAAACCTTCAATGAAATATAGGAAGCAGTTAGTCCGTTGGAAGGAATTTCTTCTATCAGACATACATGTAAACAAAAACTGAAATAATTGTGGTACATTTTCTTTAATTAGTTCGTTGGAAGAAAAACCTTTTATCAGATCTACATTCAGATCTAAAATAGAATACCTGTAGCTGTTAGTTCGTTGGAAGAAAGGTTGGGTTGTGTCCCTTGATTATAATAGATGTGTTTGTCTGTACTCTATGATTTATGACTTTTTCATAATTTTTGCAAATTTATTTTTAAATATTGTGCTGGATATTGTTCTTTTGAATATATGCTACACTCTGTTGAGAGTTTTTGTGAGTTTCTGTTTTAATTTCAACATATACACTTTATACAAAGTGATTGGAAAAAAAACAACTTAACATTACTCAACTGTTACTAAAAACAACTCCCGTAAGAGTTTGTAGTTTTAGTATACGTAAAAGAATGATAATCCCTTTCTTCATTAAATACGAGCGTAAGCGAGTACTTATCACGAAGAAATGGATTATTATTCTCTAACAAACTTAGAATATTGTAAAGTGATCAAGACTCAAATGATCTCTTGATTGGTTGTATGCAAGAATTAGTATCATTGCTAGTGCAATATTTATAATGAATGCGTGACCTTCTTTTTAGATATTTCATTTATGAATTAGTTTTGGTGATGTAAGGACATTCTTATGATTAGGAAAATATAATGAATTGTGTTTTAGACATTAAATGACATAACAGTACAATGAAATGGTAGGAATTGTATGTGTTTCCTGATTGTGAGTATGTATATAATTCATGTACTGTTTTAGTGAGAAGTTATTTTTTTTGTTTATTTACAGTTCAAATCAATAAATTAAAAATTTGAGTTACAGCTATATTTTATTTCAAGGCGAATATTTTAGTCAAGCTCTTTACAGCAAATACTAGCTCATTATGTCAAGGAAATGTTCAAATAAAATACCTTTAAAATTTTAACTATATTCAAAAGTTAAATTAAATTCCTGTTTTTTTTTTTATCTTATCAGAATACTGGAAATTATTATTTTTACCATGTGCGGATCCAGTAATCCGAGTTTTGGTAAGCGGATTTGATTAAGATTTAGGTTATACATACTTGACTTTAAAACTTTTTTCTTTTTTTTTTGCATTGCTTTGGTATAGTTTATTTTTTTTTAGTAATTTGAAGTTATTTTAAACTATTTTGATCTTTAATTTTGGATTTTTTGTTTGTTTCAAAATTAAAGTTTTATTAGTTAGTTTCAATCACAAATCCTTTAGGTGTAACACCACTAATTCGGGCCCGGCCAGAAAGCACATACTAGAAAGTAGTACATATTTAACACAAAATAGTTCCTACGCATGAGTGTTACATTCAAAATATGTAGAATATTTAGGTATTTTTGGTATCAAATGAAAGCTGAATGACTGGTGATCATTGTAGAACACTTTTTGACTTATAATTTTGAATATTAAAAAAAATGCACCAAATTTTAAAAAGAGGGTACATTTTGCCTGTTTGTCAGATCTGAAGTACCTGTTTTGGTACATCCGAAGTTCCGGGAACCAGTTCTTTCTTATATGCCATTAAAGGTATGTTGATGTTTTCAGTACAAGACACCATAAAGTGTTGCTTTGACATGCAATGATTGTCACTTTATTTGAACTTAAAACAAAAGAGCTATGCCTGCTTGAAATTGAGGAATTTAACATAGAAAGCAATGGGGCCATGAATTAGTGGTGTACTTCCTATTACAGAGAATCATCAGAAATTCAATTTTTAGAAGTTGTACCTATTCCAATGAAAATTAGTCATATTTGATGTCAGTAATCTTGTTTAATCATCTTTTTTGAATGAACAATTCTGTCTATTGGAAATTTCAGCTCTTAAATTGACATAATAAGGTATGTTAGCCTTTTATGGTCATACAACATGCATGCAGTTATTACTTGACTCCAAATTCTTATTTTTGAATTTTTAGGGATTGAAATCAATAAAACATGTATTATATGACTTGTTTATGTTAAGAAAATAACTCTTGGTCATATAATCCTATGATTTTTCAAGTTTTATTAGTTTTTTATGGTCGCCTTTTACAATCTAGGCACTTGGTATATACCCATATAAGAATTCCAAAATCCCACTGTACATGTAATTTTGAACCAGTTAAGCAAGTTAGCCAGCTGAAGGATATATAAATTGCTCTTAATAATCTATGTTGTACCACAGAAGTATGGTTTATACCAAAAATTTCCCTTTTCCAATTTGAAGAAAAAAGGGGGGACAATATTCTCAATTATGTCTTAGGTTTGGACTAATATATTTTTTATTAAATGAACAACCTCTGGTAAAAATATGACTATTGGTAAGAACATTGCTTTCCTAATAGAAATAAAAAACTAGAACAATAATATTGAGAATAGAAAAAGTATATTGGCCATTGGTAATATCCATATGCAGTTTTCTTTGAATCACCCATATGTTACTACCAGTCCAATTTGAGCTTAAAATTAGTGAAATAGTATTTGGACTATAGCCTTAAATGATTTTTATTTCTTGAAATAGATCATAGAATGAAATGAAGTAATGCTAAAGTCAATATAGCCAGTTTGGTTCTGTTATAGGTGTAACACCACTAATTCGGGCCCGGCAAGAAAGCACATACCAGAAAGTAGTACATATTTAACACAAAATAGTTCCTACGCATGAGTGTAACTTTCAAAATATGTAGAATATTTAGGTATTTTTGGTATCAAATGAAAGCTGAATGACTGGTGATCATTGTAGAACACTTTTTGACTTATAATTTTGAATATTAAAAAAAATGCACCAAATTTTAAAAAGAGGGTACATTTTGCCTGTTTGTCAGATCTGAAGTACCTGTTTTGGTACATCCGAAGTTCCGGGAACCAGTTCTTTCTTATATGCCATTAAAGGTATGTTGATGTTTTCAGTACAAGACACCATAAAGTGTTGCTTTGACGTGCAATGATTGTCACTTTATTTGAACTTAAAACAAAAGAGCTATGCCTGCTTGAAATTGAGGAATTTAACATAGAAAGCAATGGGGCCATGAATTAGTGGTGTACTTCCTTTAAAGCTGATAAATGTGCTTCGGGGCAATTGTAACTCATTTATAGAAACTCTTTGTATTGAACTGTAAATATGTCTAAACAATAGGATAATCACTTACTAAGAACATGATTTACATTCATTCTTCACAATCAAGAAACATCAAATCTTACAATTTCATTGGTCGAAAGCACTTTGCTATATTCTAAAGTAACGTACAGGAGTTTGAATGATTTTTTTTAAGTTGGACTTTGGACTTTGTATTGCCGCAAGGGTAAAATCGTTTGTTGATCAAAGATACAATGGATCAGAATGATTTAACAGGAGATTGAACGTAAAAAGATTTAACACCTTGTTCGTTACAATTAGCTCAGAAGTCTTATTGTATTAACGGTGAAAGTGAAATTCATAATTTGACAACGACTCTTCATTGATAGCAAGTCATATAGCAAGTCATTTTCGTATTAGATACAGAACAAAGGTAACAAAAAAAAAAACAGGTTGGTAACAACCGTTGTCGTATAATTTTTCTGCACGAGTAGTCAGGTCAAGTTCGAGGCGTTACCATACCGTTTATTTTGTTACTTTTGTTTTGTATCTGATTTGTACGACGTTTTGAATTAGAAAGTTATACATTTTGCATTTAAGACGATTGCATAATTAAAAAGATTGAACACAAAAAAAATTGCATACCGGTTTATGTTCCACGATGGTTGGAGATATTCAGTCTTTAATAAATTAGGGATTGTTCGCTAACGCTAGCGCTTCTCAATTCTATCAGCTGTGTGCGAGTATAGATAGATATCAGTGAAGTAGGAGTAGATTGAAAAGTTGAGGAACGGGGGGAGGGGGGGGGGGGGGATTCTTCGTAAAAGTGACAAGCAAAAAAACAAAAAACAAAAAAAAACAGGCCTTTAATCTATATTTTCTATCATCTAAAATATGAATAATAGATTAAAGACATTTAAAAATTCAACGACGTATGCAAATGAAATAAGAAAATGTAATCAGACAAACGTAAATACAACATGTATAAATATTGTCAAAATCAATAACATAAAGAACAAAATATATAAATAAAAAAAAAGAAAGCTGTTTCTCTTTTTTATGGGGAAAAACATGCAATGAAAAATAATTTGTTTTGTCTCGTTTTAAATTTTTTGATTCGCTTATTTTGGAGATCATTTTTTGTTTTTGTTTAATTTCATTTTTCATTGCAGTAATGTGATATTCGAGTAGACCCAAGTATTGATCACGTGACACAATATTTTTTTTTTATTTTCTATCCCTATATCCAAAATGTGTGGACGTTTATTGATGTTGAGACTGATTTTGTGCTATCACAATTCGACTGAAGCAAATTCCTTGGACATGAAAAGGGGAAATCCTCCTTATAGTTCGATTTAGACGATTTAAAAGATTAATCTTAACTTCTAATCAAACCCCCGAGAGATTTGTACATGGAAACATTTTATGGTTGCAGTTACTCTTGCAGTCAGTAACTTCGTAGACACTTTATTTAATTTCAGCATTTTAGGACATAGTTAGCTTTTTTAAAATTATAGTTT